TGGGTTGGCACACGGAAACAAGAATTCCAGCATATATCGTCACCATCGATCCAGAAATAACTAAACTTCTAGCACGTTCTAATTTGAATTGGATGAATCAGCTTACGTTACCACTGTGTAACTGGTGACAAACTTCCTTATGTGAATTCTACAACTAGCAGTTATATGATTTCTTTCAAGCATTGATGAGCAACAACAATATGAAAGAAAGCAACAGCAGCAACTTCATCATCAGAATTAACAGTAATAATAACTACAACTGACTCATCATCAGCAACTGCAATACCGGATGAAGCAATAACATAAAGGTTAAAAGTAACAATAGAAAGAAATAGTGTAAGTTACTAATAACTTGGAATTATAGTGCAAATGGCGAAAATATTACACTTCACTTAATTACATCACATATACTTATATTTATGAGAAGTATTATCATTCGACAACTGTCATATCAATTATATTGTTATTGGACGAAAGAAACGTTTTCGTTAATAATTTAAACTATCACATACAAGTATTATATTATATTTAGTTTTTAAAATGATGTCAAGATCACCTACCAGAAAAAATGTCAATGTATCATCAGGTACAACTCATGAGCCACAGATACAAATCCAATCACAAATACAGACACAATCAATTTCATCACAATCAAATTTTGAAATATCTGCTACCTCGATAAAATTACCCAATTAGTGGCTAGACCATCCAGAAGTATGGTTTATACATGCTGAAACTCAATTCGCTTCAAAAGGTATTAGTTTGGACAATACCAAGTATGAATATTTAATAATTTCATTGTCGCAAGAAGTTATTTTGACTGTACTTGATATAATTCAAAATCCACTTGTAAATATAAGTATGAGTATTTGGAACGTATTTTGATTGAACGTAATTCTTTAAGTGAGCGTAAAAGACTTGATAAAATCATGTATGATACTGAGATGGGTGATATGAAGCCTTCAGAATTATATCGATCATTACTACTTCTTGCGAATTCAAATTTCAGTACAGACCTTATTAAGAAGTTATGGTTAAGAAAACCACCTAAAAACTTAAATTTTGCACTTGTCTCATCTAATACTAGTGATATAACAAATTTAGTTAAATTAGCAGATGATTTATGGGAGGTCAGTAAGAGAGATGAAGTTTGTTCTATCAGTTCGAGAAATCTTAATAATGTTAATGTTGAACAAGCTATTGGCAATCTCCTTAAGGTAACATCTATTATGTGTGAAAGTTTTTCCATATTATCAGCAGAAGTGTGCTCGATGCATAAAGCTTTTGATTAACCATCGTTTTCGAGACAATCACGATAATTTAATGGGGATCATTCACAAGGTAGATCAACATCACCTAATTAATAATAATAATAATAGATTGGCGCTTACACATATGTTAGTTTAGCCGAGCTTCTCCTCCGACTTGTGGCGTGCGCCTTGATGTTGTCACACAAAGCGGAGGGACCTACAGTTTTACGCCGACTTCGAACGGCGATTGTATTTTTATGAGAAGCTGTTTTTCATGGCAGAAATACACTCGGAGGTTTTCCATTGCCTGCCGAGGGACGACCGCTGTTAAAGAAAAACCTTTTTCTATATTTTTTGCGATGTTGCTTTGACCAGGGTTTGAACCCAGGTGCTGCGGAGTGGAAGCGCGCACTGCTTACCACTGCACCACAGCGGCCTCACCTAATTGGTTATGTAGATATCATTACCGCTTTGGAAGCAGGGCACGTAAATGTGAACAACCTTGTTCGTATAAATCGAAGGGAAACTAAAACTACCCATTGTCTCGTCGCCTCTTCATCTATGATAAGGATAATTTGACAATTTGAAATCTCTTATTGTTAGTGGAGCAGAAATAACTGTTTTACCATCTTCAAAATTTAAAGAATTTAGAAAATCTTCTGATTTTTTTTAACTGCTGTAAACGGAAGTAGCATCAAAACTTTTGGTTAAAAGTTGCTAGATGTAAATTCTTGTTTGAGAAAGGAGTTTCCTTTTGTTTTTGTTATAGCTGATATTGCAAAACCAATAATAGGAGCTGATTTTTTAATGAAATTTGGGCTTATCTTATTGATCCTTTAACAAATATTTCAGTTAATACAATTTCTGGTTATAGAAAAATATCATTTCCAAAATTGTTTCCATTTGATGACAAATACACAAATTTACTCAGATCTTTTCCTTGTTTACTATCAGAACCTGATTACGCTAGGTCTGTGAAACATTCAACAGTTCATCGAATTGTTTGTAATGGCGAATTACCATTTGCAAAACCGCGCCGTTTAGATCTAATTAAATTTAAGATAGCGAAAACAGAGTTCGATTTTTTAGTTAAGTCTGGTATCTGCCGTCCATATGCATCTCATGTGGCTTCTTCATTACATCATGATATTTGAAGTGTAAACATATGCGTACGGCAAAGCATAAAAGTACGTTTATATATAAATACATATGAACTCAATAAAAGCTCGTTAGTTGCTAAAATGGTTGTGCTTGTTATTCTCACAACTCGAGGAAAAGTTAAGCTTTTTCTCTCTGCCACCGTAGTCACTTTTTTCTGCTACACGTATTATGATATTTAAATATATTTTAACTGAATATTTTATTAAA